GAAAACTATTTTCTTCGTCGTTACCAGAAATGGAGCGTGGCACTTTCTTGTCTGATGTGTCGACCGACTGCTGTGTGCAGAAAACGTTCCCCGAATGTTTCACCTCTCCGAATTTCACATTCCTTACGGTGCGCGTCTCTTGATTGATTGATTGATTGATTGATATTTAGTGTTTACCGTCCCAAAACCACCATATGATTATGAGAGATGCCATAGTGGAGGGCTCCGGAAATTTCGACCACCTGGGGTTCTTTAACGTTATGTTTTTCATAGTCTACAGTGATTTTTTTATCAGTGAGGTTGGCCCAGTCCTAACGTAGATTTGCACATGTACAGAATTGTCTTTTTTGAGTCTTTCGGGAAGACTTGTGCACAGTTGTGTTTATTGCGCATTATTAGTCTCATGCCACGAATATGTTTTCTTTTATTTATTGTTCCCATTGTGCTTTCATTTCTTTTTGTCTCCGTGTTTTTGCTCTATTTATTGATTTTATTTTCTGTAGACAGTATGCAATGTATTTTTTCTAAATATTATTTTGAGTTGAGCGTGCGCCAGCATGAAAGACTTTATAGTTATTCCTGGATGCATTAAATAAATGATTGATTGATGCTTAGTTTAGTGAATAATATTAATAATGTTATATATGAATGAGAAATAAGATGAAGATCTGGCTGGAACGCATCTCGGTAAGCAGCGTACACGAAGCAGTGACTGCAGCTTTACCAAATGGCTGTATCGAAGGTCATACAAATCTGAGCACACGGTCTTACAACATTTCCGCCTCCATCAGAAATGCAGGCGCCGCAGCCGCGATTCGATCCCGTGACCTGCGGGTCAGCAGCCGAGTACCTTAGCCACTAGACCACCGCGGCAGAGCACAGCGCACGTCTCTTGCAAACTTGCAACCTGCAGCGCAGTCAGGCGAGTTTTTCGGGACCATGGAACTCAGCTTCTCCCCGTGGGCCCAGAAACTGCAGGTGTATGACCTTGGAGACAGCCATTTGGTAAAGCTGCAGTCACTGCTTCGTGTACGCTGGCTAGCAAGACGCGTTCTAGTCAGATTTTCATCCTATTTCTTAAACATTTTTAGTAATATTAACAATAATCACACAACCAAATGTCAATCAATCATTTATTTAACGTATTCAGGAACAACCATAAAGGATTTCATGCTGGCGCACACAAAACCAAAACAATAATGAGAAACAATATATAACAGACTGTCTACAGAAAAGAAAATCAATAAAAAGAGCAAAAACGCGCAGACAAAAAGAAGTCAATGCACAATGAGAACAATAGGTAAAAGAGAACATATTCATGGCATGGGACTGAAAAATAATGCGCAAAGTACACAACTGTGCACAAGGTTCCTGAAAGACTCAAAAAGAAAAAATCTGTACATGTGCAAACCTACGTTAGAACAGTGCGAACCTCACTGATAAAAAAATCACTGTAGACTATGAAACACACAACAAATCAAGAAAGTTGGCATTATAAAGAGTCGGTGTTCTGTGAAGGATAGAGTGCGGGAAGAAGCTGGCAGGTATATGCAACAGTCGATTCTTTCTGAATATCTTACGCGGAATTTGAAAATTATCACAAACGAGGCGGGCAGAATATTTTACCCTGAACTAGCTTGTAAAGAAATAACAGCTCAGCAAGATCTTTGTTGGCCGCTAAGTGATGGCAAAGACAATATTCTGGCAGTGTTGAAAAGAGTCTAGTGAAACGATGGGTGTAAATGCTTATGAATTTTTCCGTACTCTCTCAGTGGCGTTACTGCTGGACTTAGCAAGGCCATTCGAGATCAGATATGCATATACACTCAAGTTGAGAAAGATATATCACGGTGTACAATTTGTAGAAGGCTATAGGAGAACTGAATTCTCAAGAGATATTCTGTCAACAGAGAGAGAACGAAGGCCTCACATGGCAGCACAGTTAATTCAGTTCATTCTTTCATAGGTCTTCTGCAGCAATTTTCACTCCTAAGTACCTAAATTACTTCACTTTGTGAGTGGTTGAAAATGGAATTTATATCACCAATACGGTTTCTTTTAATAATATTCGTAATTACTGATTTCTTGCTGAACTGTGGCCTAGGCATGTGTCTCTTAAGGGACAGTAGGATTGGGCATGTCAGTATAACATGATAACGAGTGCTTAACAGCGCAAACGACAGGAGGGAATAGAAAAGGCGAGACAAAGAACTGAACTGCCAACTATTTACTTTTTGCGAAGGTCTTCGCTTTTATATAGTTACCAGTTGCACCAGTCATGTGCGAAACACAATGATAATGCATAAGTACATCACACCGACAAGCAAAGGAACGACTTTCTTTATCGGTGACCGCGACAAAAAGGGTGCTAGCACAAGCATATTTCAATGAGCATACCTTCTCTTCCTCTATGATCTCGCGTGTGGTGTGATCCCTACATCTTGCAACAATAGTACGCTCTCAAAATGCAGCCGCGTAATAAATAAAACTGCTTGTGAGCATAATCTTTCCACACTAAATCTGTGGTGCATTTACTTATAAATTTTGTATGCTTGTACGTGCACCCACCAAAATGTGGAATTCCCCTCGCGTATAGAGGTTGATGGACACCCGGACACTAGAATTTGCTTTAATGTGGCCAGGTGTTTTTGGCCTCGTGAGATTGATATGAGTGTATTATTATTATTATTATTATATTATTATTATAATTTTATTATTATTATTATTTTATATTATTATTATTATTATTATTATTATTAGTAGTAGTAGTAGTAGTAGTAGTAGTAGTATTGTTATTATTGTTGTTGTTGTTGTTGTGTCTTGCAAAACGCCCAACATTTCAATTTCATATCTTGTGAATCTTGGGTCGGTATTTAAGGTGATAAAATCAGTAACCTTGGTGTTCTTTTTGATAACATGCGAATTCTTTTCTACTCCCATTAATATGAGAAGAAAATCGACATCACATGCAGCGCTAATGAAGAACAAAACACTTTGCGGTTGAAGTGAATACCTGGCGTTGGTAATGATTATCTATGGCTCACAATTATCATATCAGGTTCAGGGGAAATTGTAACTAGTCACGTCACGCAAAAATTTGACGCAGAACAGAAAAATGAACACAAGCGCTAACTTTCGAGGTTTATTTTGAAGTGCCAGTGCCTCCTACTTTTTAATGCGAGCCAGATGCTCCTGATCCAGCCAATCACCACCCTCTCCTATAAAAATTTCCTGGTCTCGGCCATCGGCTAGCCTTTCCATGTGCTTTGCGGTCATGAGGAAGAGGACCCTCTATGTTGTGCCTCACGACAGAAATCACATGAACTAATTTTTTGTTCGGTTGCGTACCCGTTCGTGGGAGGTGTCTTGCATTACACGTGTTCACAACGTTGGCGGTCAAGCTGGCAATGTAAGAGATACGGTGTTTAGAGTGAGCGTGTCACCGTTCGTGACGCTACCCGGTCAGCTAATGTGGAAGCGTCATTGCAACGCTGCTGCATGCGCTGACATTAAGAGCACTGCAAGCCGGCGGCAGTGGTATTGCTTCCAGCCACTAAGAAGTAGCACGAAGGAAAACATCAGGCATTTGGTATTGGAGAAGGAAACGCGTATATCGCATGCTAGTGAGGAAGCGCTCTGGCGCACGTGGGATGCAAGCAGCCCGACATTACATGTGGAGTTGCATCACGACCACTCTCTGAACTAAGATGAACCGATGGCACCAGTTGAGGAGCGCGCTTTTGCACTGTCATTGAAAGGAATAATGAAATCGTTGGAAGGCGTACACAAATAAAGCTCTCGAAATTCTAGAAACAAAGAATTCATTCAAGAAGCCCACATCGGCAATGCGCTAAAGTCCTCCATTCTTATTAAAGGTAATTTTATTGACGAAAGCATGAGAAGGGGAGCGCTTACGCAGCTGAGCCCCACTTTACCATTGCTACTCTATGTTGATAATTTCCTGTGTCGTTTCAATAATGTTTTTACTAACAATAACGTTGAATACAAGTTGTTTGCAGCCACACAAGCTGCGTTGCAAGGCGAAGGCACCATATCGACTATTCTTGATTAGAAGCTTGTTCCCGTAGCCGGTCAATATTACAGCGGGCAGGTTGTCCTACGTACTGCTTGTCACAATGAACAGATGTCTGAGAGATGATTTTTGCTGTACACGTGACGAACGGTATTTTGTGCCTTTTTGATGAACCTCGTTTCGCATTTGAAACATCTTAGCACAGAAGTACGGGGCAGAAAAAACCGCCTTCACATTGGATCTCGTCTTGATCTTTTTCAAGTTTTTGGACATTCCATGAAGATATACAGTATCTGCATGCTTCTCAGGCCTCACTGGCTCAAGTTGTGGGAGGGCTGGCAGCAAGAATTGAAGATTTTTTATCAAACTTAACGCTACGGAAACTTGTTTGTGACAGGGGAGTCTGCATTAAAAATTCACTCTGCTTGCTTTTTAAAACTACTAGCTATTAGATGTGGGCAAGAATTTTGCAAATCATTGCAAAATCTCAAGTTTACAAAACAGTTTTTTACAAGTTTTTTTTACGTGTAATGTTACGAAAGCAGAGGTTTGTTGCTTTTTCGATGGTGTGACCAACAGGTATGGTCTTTATTAAAAGTGAAGTCAATGTCTAAAAATATGAAAGTGTTGTTATTTGGCAACTCGTAAGGAAGAGCGGTTCAAACCGCTATTTGACAAAATTGAGGATGATGTCTAGAGCACTAGACTTTAAGCCACTGTCGGGGAGATTAAGAAGTTGTCAACAAATCTAAAAATGCGCATGGTGTCCTCGTCACATGGGTCGCTAGAAACGGCTATGTTAAGCATATTTAAACACAAGTCACTTAACATTGGAATAATACATGTTAGTGTAGTTTTGTGCGGATAACGAGGAATTAGTGAAAAGGCAAAAAGTTACGTCTGATAATGAATCTCAGTTGTGTGAGCGGCACGCGTATTGGAAAGTTATAGCCCATTGTATACTCACACAAGGTGTAAGTGGTGTTGAGAATGCCGCCGAGGCCCAGAGAAGCCACCAATCTGCCAATGTTGAGCACGAGGAAGCTTTTAGAGCAACATATGACGACGCTCGCCAGGATGGGCAAGGGGGTCATGAACACCAGGGCTCGCTTCCGGCCGTACCTGTGGCACATTTAAAGACGGAAAGAAGAATGAAGGAATGCGCTCGCCGTGGGGTGAGAGAGAGTGAAGGGTGCGTGTAAAGTATGGAAAGACTCTTTCTAGCAGCTTGCAAGAAGCGAGAACAATCATTTGCCCTAGAGAGACAACGCCGACAGCGTTTTATAGCGAGTTTATTGATTGAAAAACAAAAACCACAAAAAACGACAGTGTTTCCTTCCGTATGACCGTTCACAAGCCACCCTATATATATATATATATATATATATACTATATATATATATATATATATATATATATATAATTATATATATATATATATATATATATATATATATATATATATATATATATATATATATATATATATATATGAATAAATATGGTGGGGTGAAATTCAATGGATCCGGTGGAAAATGCGGTAGAAAAAGAGGCCGACAAACGTGCGAAAAAACACTAGTTTTACTTACGTTTCGGCAGGTGGTCCTGTCTTCGTCGGAGTGAATTGATTCACTCCGACGAAGGCAGGTCGAATTCACTCCGACGAAGTGCTAGTAGAAGGTGTTGCTGTACGTGCACTTGTCGATCCAGGCACCGTCGTTTCAGTAATTATTGAAAAACTCTCTCGCGATTTGAGAAAAGTTACAACGCCGCTTACTAATCTTGCTCTGTGTACAGCCACCTCCCATTTCATTGCGCCGACGGCTCAGTGCACAGCACGCGTTCTTATTCAAGATGTTTTGTACGCCGTCAACTTTGTTGTTCTTCCACGTTCATCTTACGACGACATACTACGATGGGATTTCCTTTTTACCCATCAGGCCCTCGTCGACTGCGCTCCTGCTGAACTCATGTTGACGAATCCATGCCTTGATATTGACCACCACAGTCCGTCGAAAGTGTTTTCCGCAGAAGACGTCCGCATCGCGCCATCGTCCGCCGTCCCAGTGCCTTTGTTTTCCCCTGCTGCCACTAACTCGATGCTCCTATTCAAACCAACTATAAATAGTGTGCACCACCGAACCATCGTCCTCCCGTTTACCGTCATCAACATTTCCAATGGTTCGGCGGTACTTTATGCGTGCAGTGTTCCTGCTTGTGCGTACATCCTGCTACGCGGCGAGTGTCTGGGAGGTCTCGAGACCTTATATTGTATTTTCGAAGACCCGATGTATCCAGACAAGCCATTTTTACCAACTTGTGCCATTACACCCGCAACTGACGCCAATGAACCTATGGATGTATTCTGCAAGTCTATTGATTGCCACCTCACGCCTGGGCAGAAGGAACAGCTGATCAAGCTCCTCCAGCGTTTTCCAGCCTCGTTTGACCACAATCAGCCTTCCTTAGGTCGAGCGTCATCTGTTGTTCACCGTATAGATACCTGTCAAAAGACGCCATTACGGCAGCATCCATATCATGTGTCAACTACCGAACGCCGTGCCATCAATGAACAGGTTGATGATATGCTGATACGGGGCATATTCGAACCGTAAAGCACTCCATGGGCCTCTCCAGTTATGTTGGTGAGGAAGAAGGACGGATCCATCAGATTTTGCGTAGACTACCAACGTTTCTTCGGAATCACACGCAAGGATGGCTATCCGCTGCCACGCATTGACGATGCCTTGACTGCCTACAGGGAGCCAAATTTTTCTCTTCTTATTATCTGCGCTCTGAATAATGGCAAGTGCACATGGCAGAGGCCGATCGCGAAAAAATATCTTTCATCACGCCTGACGGGCTTTACGAATTCACAGTCATGCCCTACGTCTTCTGCAACGCGCCAGTTACTTTCGAGCGAAGGATGAACTCTATCCTTCGAGGCCTTAAATGGAACGTTTGCCTTTGTTATTTATATGATAATGTCATCTTTTCAACTGACTTTGCAACTCATTTAACCCACCTCGAGAAAGTCCTCAAGTGTGTTTCTGCCGTGGGGCTGCAACTGAATCTGAAGAAGTGCCACTTCGCTGCTCGAAAACTTACGATCCTTGGCCACGTGGTTTCAAAAGACGGTATTCTTCCTGGCCCTGCCAAAGTTACAGCCGTGGCAGCGTTTTCCAAACCGACCACCATGAAAGAGCTCCGAAGCTTCATAGGCCTTTGCTCTTACTTCCGGCGCTTCGTCCGCAATTTCGCGACAATCATCGCTCCTTTGACCAAGCTCCTCGCCGACTCTAGAGACTTTTCAGCCTGGTCTGCCACCTGTGACGATACTTTCAATTAACTGCACGGCCTCCACACGTCGCCGCATATTCTGCGACACTACGACCCATCGGCACACACTGAGATCCACACCGACACTAGTGGTGTCGGGCTAGGCGCTATTGTTGCACAGCAGAAAGACGGCTTCCAGGAGTAAGTGGTTGCCTACGCAAGCCGAACTCTTAGCAAAGGCGAAATCAACTATTCTGTCACTGAAAAGAAAGGCCTCGCCATGAATTGGGCGATAGAGAAATTTCGAGCTTACTTGTACGGGCGCCCTTTGGACGTCGTGACTGACCACCACGCCCTCTGCTGGTTGTCGTCACTGAAGGATCCAAGCGGTCACCTCGCCCGATGAGTGTTACGCCTCCAAGAATATAATATTCGTGTGGTCTATCGCTCCGGCCGGAAACATTCGGACGCAGACGCTCTCTCCCGTTCGCTTCTACCCCCTGACACGGACTGCTGCAAAAGTCTAACCTGTGATGCCACTGCTGTCACCATCACCGACATGCCATCTGAGCAACGCAAGGACCCTTGGGTTGCTTCGATTCTAGACATCCTGGCTGGGTGGACGGCATCCGCACCCCCCGTCCCCTTCTCGCACGTTGCGTCGGCAAGTCGAGCACTTTACCACTCGTGACGACGCGCTGTACCGACGCAACTACGCACCCGGGGGACGTAAGTGGCCACTCGTGATTCCACATCATCTGCGATCCGAAATTTGTTCCGCGTTTCAAGACGACCCCAATGTGGCCACGCAAGTTTCCTGAAGACTTATTCTCGCATACGTCTCCGATATTACTGGCGTGGCATGTATCGTTTTATACGCAATACATTCGGGCCTGCTGGACGTGTCAGAGACAAAACACTACACCTCATCACGCCAGCGGTACCTTATTACCCTTACCAAGCCCATCCCGACATTTCGACCGCGTCGGCATCGATATCTATGGTCGCCTTCCCAACACTGCTAATGGTAGCCGCTGGATCATAGTTGCCGTCGACCACCTCACGCGGTATGCCGAAGCTTCATCCCTTCCCTCGTCTACAGCAAAAGACGTTACGACTTTCGTTCTTCACAATATTGTATTACGTCATGGAGCACCTCGGGAGTTACTGAGCGATCGTGGTCGCGTATTCTTGTCAGACGTCATCACAGCATTGCTGCGTGAGTGCCACGTCGTTCACCGCACTACAAGCGCCTATCATCCCCAGACCAATGGAATGACAGAGTGCTTCAGCCGCACCCTTGGTTACATGCTGTCTATGTACATCTTGTTAGACCACTTCAATTAAGACCGAGTGCTCCCGTTTATCACGTTCGCCTATAATACCGCCATTCAAAGCACTACTGGGTTCTCTCCTTTTTTCCTCCTTTACGGACGCGAACCTTCTTGTACTATGGACACCATTCTTTCGTACCAACCTGACTCCTCAGAGTCCACGACTTTGTCTCAAGCCGCTACATACGCTGAAAAATGCTGCCAACTGGCAAGATTATTCCCAACCCAAGACCAAGGACGCCAAAAGCACCACCATGACGCATCAAATAACACTACTTCCTGCGATCCAGGTTCACTCATCTGGCTGCATGTCCCTTCTGCTACACCTGGCATTTCTACCAAGTTGCTCCCCAAGTGTCACGGCTCATATCGTGTGCTACAAAAAACGTCACCGGTGAATTACCTCGTCGAGCCACTGGAACCATCTTCTGACCAACGTCGTCGTGGCCAGGAAATTGTCCACGTCTCGAGACTTAAGCCCTGCTGCGACCCTGCCGTGTTTCCTTTTCCATAGGTCGCCAGGATGGCTCCTTATTTCGCGGGGAGTAATTGTAATGAATCTGAATAACGGACGCTCTGCTGTTAATAATGAAGGAGACGATGATGATCGGTGGCTGTAGTAGTAGCTCGTGCACGCCGCTCGCCATTAGCCAGACCTGCCTGATAAAGCACATTTTGCCAAGCTGCGTCTGAACCTTTCTCGACGTACAACACCTCTATTATATATATATAAGGGAAAGAAGTGTATACCTAAGGACTCGTTTGTCTTTGTATTGACACTATAATAATGAGATCTAACAGACAATTATGACAAGGAATGTATATGGGAAGTTATTAGTACCATTGTAAAGTAAATAAGAAGAAAAAGTGGCGGAAAAGGAACTTGCCATGAGCAGGAATCGAACCTACGACCTTCGACTAACGCGTTCGATGCTCTAGCCACTGAGCTATCACAGCGGCCATCCCTACAGCCACTTTATTGGGTTTAAATGTCAGTTTCAACGTGGGAGTGTCAGTCAGCTCCATCTGTAGCCACCGCGGCTTGTGTAGAACACCCTTTTATGAGCCTTTGTGGCGTCAAGTAGCACGTCAACTTATTACGAGCGGGCAGCTGATCTCGTATACAACCTAACGGCCCCAAGTCTGCGAGTACGAGACCCTTGGTAACGAATATGGGAAAGAATTGTATACCTAAGGGCTCATTTTTTTGTGTTTTGACACACTATTAATGAGATCTGGGGGTGGTGTGCCTATTGCTGCACATCGTTTGCTTAAGTGCTCTGCTGTAAATGTAAAAACGTCTCTGGAAATGGTTTGGACGTGCTGCCATGCCACTTCAACGGCTGTTGCTACCGTTAATCGGCTGTTGCTACCGTCCACCAACCACGGATAGCTCCTTTCTTTCGTCTTTTCACGAAGCATTGTTAGAACTAACAACGACGTTTCCCAACGCTCCCATCTTATTATTCGGTGATGTCAATTTTCCTTCAATAGATTGGAGTAATGTTG